ACATTGTTAATTTATGCAAATTTAGCCACCGCCGCCATCCGCTTTATGCAACGCCAATGAGGCAGAGAAAGAGCTGCCAGGAGTCTGTTCAGGCCACAGCAGTTGCCGCAGCCACGGCCGCAACGCCAACAACATTAACGCTGCTGTTGCACCACCATAACCACTGACACGACTTGCATAATTTGGCACAAGGGGTGCGGCGGCGATGGCGCCTTTGCTTGATTTGCATGGAACCGCTGCCACTGCTGCCCTCTCGCTATTCCCTGCTATTTCCTCTATGGCCGCTATTTCCTCACCCGCCGCTCCTATCTGCAGTCTGCTATCTGCTGCAAACTGCGTCCTGGATACATTTTTGTCAATGTCGAGCACAACGGGGCGCAACTGGGGACAACTGTCGGCAGAATTGCGGCAGGAGTCGCCTCAGGGCTCAACTGGGTGCACAACGAATTAGCGCGTTGACTCTGTTTGCCTCTTTGCCACTTAGCTGAGCGAGCTGGGGCGCCGCACAAGAAGAGCAAGAAATCGCTTTAAAAGAAGCTGCAGTGGAGCACATAGCACCTAGTTAAACACCCACAAATGTGATTTAATGCAGCAAGCCCACGATGAGCCACATGCAGCTAATCAACTGCAGAGGGTCGAGACGAGCCGAGGTCGATACTTAATGGTACAGTAGCTAATAATTATAATGAACTAAGACTATCTATGCAGCACAATTGAAATGCGTACAGCACAAGTTTCTACTAACCCTCGTACTGAAAACAAGAAAGTCATAATGTAAGCAACAACAAACCCAATGGATATTAGAAATATTGAAGCTAAAATGAAGTAAAGAAAACCCTTTGCATTCAGCAATAAACTTCTTGAACAATAAGGTAAGTATGGCGATTTTCAAACTTCTTATAAGACCAAGTTATACAAATTTATTGGAATATAATTGGAATATTTACAAATATTAGCTTAGTCAAAGAGAATTTGTTTGTAATCAGTTTTGTGATTATTACGTGCAACACTTACACAAATAAACTAAGATTAAAAAAATGGTATCTCATTTGTGCGTAATGTTGCACACTTTGTGGCACAAACGGCGAGGAGAATTAGAGGGTGGCAGGTGATAAGCCAACAAATTGACGCCAATTATAAAATATATGTATCGGATATACATACACATCCACTTGCATTTGGGTATGCGTGTGCAGCATATGATAATACAAATATATGACTAACTGTATTTATTGTATTGTCTAGACATGAAAAACCGCAGTGGCTGCATTGCAATTCGCATTTTTATTTTACTTTATTTTATTTTATGGTTTAACCGCATTGAATGAAGCAACTGACAAAAAATGCGAAAGAATCAAAGGAACAATTCATGCTGACTGTGCTCGACTAAAGGATACCCTGCAAGCAAGTGGCGTGAGAATGCTACTACCACAACCAATCAACTCCATATCCAAAGCTTACAAGCGATTCCAAAAGCAGCTTGATTTCACTGTGTCCAAAATTGCTTACATTCACATTCTTAACATTGCGCGATTCAGTTGTGAGTCGAAGACATATAATATACGACAGCCTATATACCCCAAAAAATAATGAAAGAAACTAATTTTTAAATTAAAAAGGATCTTTTTTATAGTCAAGCTTCAGCATTAAATAAAATTATATTTAAAAAAATGAACAAAATTATTTCAATTATAATTGTATTTTAAAATAGCGTTTATCTTTTTTGAAAAATCATCTGATTGTGATATTGATGCTTTTCATAGCATCGAAACGGTATTCAATAAATCATCAAAAAATGAGGTATGGGAAAATGTACAGGCAAACACTATTTTACCAACAGGACACATTCAAAATGTCAGAAATGTTGATTTTGGAATCAGTGTAGTACATAATCCCGATAAGCAACAATATAAATTTGACCTATTTTGTCGTGCCACTATTATTTGACTTAGACTTATATAATTTAATATTCTCTCATCTATGCCACATGTTGCGCATACCTTTTGCGTATATTCAATGTGTACCACAAACGGTGCATTAAAAAAGGCACTTAATTGTACAATTACATGCAATTTGTGGCTTCAAAGAGCATACGCAATGTGAAATGTGAATTTGTGAATCGACGCCTGTCTACAAATTGCTGTTCAACTTGTGTTTAATGTAGCTGCACCTGTACTGGCAAAGGGTGGGAATGGCCAGATGTTGAGCCAATAACCGGCAATTCATTCAGAATCGCTTGATATATATATATACGAGTATATATAAACAAAATGTAAGCGGCAGCGGCGCAGAGTTCGCAAGACTGACTAAAGCAGCAATCGTTAATAAATTAATTTTAAAACTATATTTGTGCAAATTAGCTAAAACAAGTCAAAAATCTAAAATTTATATATGGGAAAAAAGATATTCCATTCCGAAAACGATCTCTTGTAATATATTTATTTGTATTAAAAATAAATCAAAACTATCAAACATTAAGATGATTGTGGACGAGAATACAGAGGAGAAATTCAAATGTTTTCGAACGGGGCAGCCACAAAACGCTGCCCACTCTTTGCAGCAGCAGCAACAGCATCCAAGCAAATGTCCACAGCCGATAGAGAAAAGAGGGGCAACGGTGGCGGAACGCTGCTCCGCGAGGATAGCAACTTGATGCGCAAGCCCAATGTGGTTCCAGCTCCAGCTCCAGCTCCAGTTGCAGTTGCAGTCGAGAAATAGATTACCGCTTCCGTTCAGCTGAGAGGCACGGAGATGCGTGGTCTGCTCATGGACTCAATTATGGGCACGAAGTAGAAGTAGTTTTAGACAAAAATTTGCCATAGTTTATGCATATTAATATTATTATTTAAATAAGTTTTATAAATTGTGCTTTATATAATTATATTTTGTTTTGGCGCTTCTCAATTTCACTTGCAGGTCGTTTAATTGTTTTAGGTAATAATACTTTGTTTACCACCATTATCGACAGACAACTGTGTATAAAGTATATAGTGAGTGGCTTATAATTAATGCCTGATGCCAGATGATTGTCTGTTATACAATCCGAATGACAGTTTATGAGTCTGTTTCTCTCCGGGCTCGGTTTGTGTTGAGATTAACATAACTGACGCTAACGCTAGCGCGCTATTTATCTTGTTGGGATCGTGTATCTTGTATCTTTGGGGCCGACAAGCATTACTTGGACAGCAATCAGTTGTAATCTGCCAACTGGTTTGCTGTGGCACTTATCGCATTCGAATTCATGATCATGATCATTGCTGCTCTTACTTGTACTACCTGTACTGCTAATTGGTGTAGCCATATCATGGCTATCATGATGATTGCCAAAACATACGTAAAAGATACAAATTTAAGAATCGGACAGAAGACGAACAACATTTCTGACTGCTTTTGCCTGCGTCATGGAATGGGGTGAGTAGACACTCTACTCTGCTATAAATATATATATATATATATATATATATATATATATATACATATGTAAATGTGAGATGTGCATCATGTGTTATCGCCAGATAAGACCATTCTCGTCTTAGTCACGATATTTGCAGGAATCCACTTTGAACCACATTTCCGGCCAGCCGTGGAAAACAATCAACAATTTTATTCACTCTCTGATTGGGTATGACAATTTCATCATCAAGTGTGTAACACCCAAAACGTATATCTGAACCAAGATTGACATTGGTAACAATCGTTTTTAATTTAATTTAATTGTGAAAACTAAAATAAATAATAACTAAATGAAATGGGCGCTATTTTGATTTACTAGTTTCCTAATTATAAAATGTAGCAGAAGTGTATTTATTTAAATCTTGGTTCAAGAAATCGATGTGAAACTTAGGTGAGCAAAGAAGTTAAGTTTATTGACATTCATTTCAGTCTCTGGTTAATAATACAAATATATTGACTTCAATTACTTTCCGATTCTGGGCAAGGGTAATTAAACTTCCATAACCCGATTAATTATGCTACCTTCTTGTTATTTTCGTGAAATTAGACAAATAGCGCAAATTTGTCACAGGAAATGCGCAGCCGACTTGTATTTTTTTATATATTTTTTTATCAAATGCTTTTCTATTATGTTGACTTGCTCAGATTAAGATTGCGTACAACAGAAACAGATGTGTGAAATATCATAATTGTCTTAACTTAATGACCATCGGAAGCATCGAGATAGTACCTTTTATTAATTTATATTAGCTTTATTTGTGTTATTATTGTGCACGAGCCCTAATTCATATCAAGTAACTTACTAAGCATTGAGCGTTAAAATGAATACAATGATTACTATTTGCATTACGGCGAAATTCTTAATGCTATCCAAGTGACAACGAGGTTGTTTTTACAGCTAATTAAACTAAGCAAACTAAATTTAGTTTGAGTTTATTTAATTGCGTTTACCTTGAAATTTTTTATATGTATATGACTGTCTCAAAACACTTTTGAGCTGCTTATAGCTGAAGGAATCCCTTTCAAATATTGGATACGGTTTAACGATGCTTGGATATGTTTGTCGAAGAGAGCTTGTCGAACTTGCTGCTTGTTAAGCTTCTTAACTATTTATTTTCAACCAAAATGCTTTTGGCACTCTTTAATGGAATGTGAGACCTCTGTTTTGATAATTACAATGTATATTTAGAATTTATGAAGTAAAACAACAATTGCAATTACGTCAGCTGATAAGCGAAAACAAAATTAGGAACTAAAAATGTATTTAAGAAAATAATAATAATAATAAATAAATAAATAAATAAATAGGTTTACCAACAGTAGTCAAAAAATTGTAAGAGGCGCAAACAGCTTTACGTTGGTTCAGATTTTAACTGCAATATCATAAATTGGCCGCAAACTTATCTGTGGCAAACAGAGATAATCATTGGCTATTTGCATAGCGTCAGGCAGATTTGCTCGGAGATAAGTGTTGAATGGGAAGCGTTCTAGATAAAAGCGACTCTCAGAACTATACAGGGGATAGTAACGATTTTTCATTCGAACCAAACACACATCGACGATGACGAAAAAATTAACCAGAATATTGATAATACTTGTGGTAATTGCATTCAACTTACTAACGCGTCACAGAAACCCAAAACCCGATTTCCTGTTCCCCACATTGTCATGCCAGAACCTCAAATCAAAATTTGTACTCAACCTTTTTTTTTGCTTCCTATTACTGATGAGTTGTATTTTATTAACCAAAACTGTGTGGCAACTTTACGGGCTATTTTGGATACGCGTGACTAAAACCAAACCAAACAAACTAACAAAAGCTGCCGGGACTCTTGCTACTTTGGATATCGTTCAGAGCACTCGGCGGCAACGCGAAAGAATCCTATGCAAGTGTTACTAAACTCAAAGTGTAATTGTTACGGTCCCGAGGCTCCGACTTGTGACAGACAGTGCACCAGTGCGACCCATTGAGCAATTATAATAAATCCCTATTCCTTTCTTTTCCACCATGGTGTCGTCTCTTACAGTTATCGGCACTGATCGACAGCCGAGCTCAGCCTATCGAGACCAGTGCGGCGATCATAAACCTCAATTGTACTGGCCGATCAACCGTCTGCGTGGGAAAAGACAAATATATGGTATGTCAGTCGAATGTTGCCACAGGGATTGCTCAACTTTGTCCGGAAAACACTCGCTGCATCAATGATGGCATCGAGCTGTGTGTGCCCGTCAAACCGTATAGTGTGGCGAATTCAGCGGCTGTCGCCAAAATGACAACTATCACCGATCATCCGATTAGTGGCAGCGGCCCAGCGGCTATAATTGAGTCCACCACAAGCTCGGCGACCTCCGGGCTACCCAGTAGCACAAAGGGTTTTGTAGAGACAACTGTTCAACCGATCTTTGAAACCACAACTACCAATACCAATGCACCCGTCGAGCCAGAATCAACGCTACCGGCGGAAACAACAACAGCAGCCAACATTCCAATAACGACAGATGGACCCAACGTTCCAGTCAACCCCATAACTACTGAGGATCCTAACGCACCAGCCAATCCTGAAGGAACAACAGTATCTCCAGTAGATCCCAACGCACCAGTCGATCCAAATGCACCTGCAAATCCTGAAGCCACAACAGTGTCTCCTGTCGACCCCAATGCACCAGTTGATCCCAACGCACCAGTTGACCCGAATGTACCTGTAGATCCAAAACGCACCCGTTGATCCTAATGCTCCAGTCGAACCTAATGCACCAGAAGATCCCAACGCACCAGTAGATCCCAACGCACCAGTCGATCCCAATGCACCAGTAGATCCTAATGCACCTGTGTATCCTGAAGGAACAACAGTGTCTCCTGTTGACCCCAACGCACCAGTTGATCCTAACGCACCAGTCGACCCCAATGCACCAGTGGACCCCAACGCACCAGTGGAACCCAATGCACCAGTCGACCCCAACGCACCAGTTGATCCTAATGCACCTGTAAGTCCTGAAGGAACAACAGTGTCTCCTGTTCACCCTAACGCACCAGTTGATCCTAATGCACCTGTCGACCCCAACGCACCAGTTGATCCTAATGCACCAGTCGACCCGAACACACCAGTGGATCCCAACGCACCAGTTGATCCTAATGCACCAGCCGACCCCAACGCACCGGTTGATCCTAATGCACCAGTCGATCCCAACGCACCAGTTGATCCTAATGCACCAGTCGACCCCAACGCACCCGTTAAGCCTAATGAACCAGTCGACCCCAACGCACCAGTAGATCCCAACGCACCAGTGGACCCCAACGCACCAGTAGACCCCAACGCGCCAGTTGACCCTAATGCACCAGTCGACCCTAACGCACCAGTTGATCCTAATGCACCAGTCGACCCAAACGCACCAGTTGATCCCAATGCACCAGTCGATCCTAATGCTCCTGTAAATCCAGAAGGAACAACAGTGTCTCCTGTCGACCCCAATGCCCCAGTCGACCCCAACACACCAGTGGATCCCAACGCACCAGTTGATCCCAATGCACCAGTAGATCCTAATGCACCAGTAGATCCCAATGCACCCGTTGATCCCAACGCACCAGTTGATCCTAATGCACCAGTCGATCCGAACGCACCAGTTGATCCTAATGCACCAGTAGATCCCAACGCACCAGTTGATCCCAACGCACCAGTTGATCCCAACGCACCTGTAGATCCCAGCGCACCAGTCGATCCCAGTGTACCTGTGAATCCTGAAGGAACTACAGTATCTCCTGTCGACCCCAATGCACCATTAGATCCCAACGCACCAGCTGATCCTAATACACCAGTCGACCCCAACGCACCAGTCGATCCTAATGCACCAGTAGACCCCAACGCACCAGTTGATCCTAATGCACCATTAGATCCCAACGCACCAGTTGATCCTAATACACCAGTCGACCCCAACGCACCAGTTGATCCTAATGCACCAGTAGATCCCAACGCACCAGTCGACCCCAACGCACCAGTTGATCCTAATGCACCAGTGGATCCCAACGCACCAGTTGATCCTAATGCACCAGTCGATCCGAACGCACCAGTAGATCCCAATGCACCCGTTGATCCCAACGCACCAGTTGATCCTAATGCACCAGTCGATCCGAACGCACCAGTTGATCCTAATGCACCAGTCGACCCCAACGCACCAGTTGATCCAAATACACCAGTCGACCCCAACGCACCAGTTGATCCTAACGCACCAGTAGATCCCAATGCACCCGTTGATCCCAACGTACCAGTAGATCCCAATGAACCAGTCGATCCCAGTGCACCTGTGAATCCTGAAGGAACTACAGTATCTCCTGTCGACCCCAATGCACCATTAGATCCCAACGCACCAGTCGATCCTAATGCACCAGTAGATCCTAATGCACCAGTAGATCCCAATGCACCCGTTGATCCCAACGCACCAGTTGATCCCAACGCACCAGTCGACCCCAACGCGCCAGTTGATCCCAACGCACCAGTAGATCCCAACGCACCAGTCGATCCCAGTGTACCTGTGAATCCTGAAGGAACTACAGTATCTCCTGTCGACCCCAATGCACCATTAGATCCCAACGCACCAGTCGATCCTAATACACCAGTAGACCCCAGCGCACCAGTCGACCCCAACGCACCAGTTGATCCAAATGCACCAGTCGACCCCAACGCACCAGTTGATCCTAACGCACCAGTAGATCCCAATGCACCCGTTGATCCCAACGCACCAGTTGATCCAAATGCACCAGTCGACCCCAACGCACCAGTTGATCCTAATGCACCAATAGATCCAAATGCACCAGTCGACCCCAACGCACCAGTTGATCCTAATGCACCAATAGATCCCAATGCACCAGTTGATCCCAACGCACCAGTAGATCCCAACGCACCAGTCGATCCCAGTGCACCTGTGAATCCTGAAGGAACTACAGTATCTCCTGTCGACCCCAATGCACCAGTAGATCCCAACGCACCAGTTGATCCTAATACACCAGTCGACCCCAACGCACCAGTCGATCCTAATGCACCAGTCGACCCCAACGCACCAGTTGATCCTAATGGACCAGTAGATCCCAATGCACCCGTTGATCCCAACGCACCAGTTGATCCTAATGCACCAGTGGATCCCAACGCACCAGTTGATCCTAATACACCAGTCGACCCTAACGCCCCAGTAGATCCCAACGCACCAGTCGATCCCAGTTCACCTGTGAATCCTGAAGGAACTACAGTATCTCCTGTCGACCCCAATGCACCATTAGATCCCAACGCACCAGTTGATCCTAATACACCAGTCGACCCTAACGCACCAGTCGATCCTAATGCACCAGTAGACCCCAACGGACCAGTCGACCCTAACGCTCCAGTAGATCCCAGCGCACCAGTCGACCCTAACGCACCAGTCGACCCTAACGCACCAGGCGATCCTAATGCACCAGTCAACCCCAACGCACCAGTTGATCCTAATGGACCAGTTGATCCTAATGCACCAGTGGATCCCAACGCACCAGTTGATCCTAATACACCAGTCGACCCTAACGCACCAGTCGATCCTAATGCACCAGTCGACCCCAACGCACCAGTTGATCCTAACGCACCAGTAGATCCCAATGCACCCGTTGATCCCAACGCACCAGTTGATCCTAATGCACCAGTGGATCCCAACGCACCAGTTGATCCTAATACACCAGTCGACCCTAACGCCCCAGTAGATCCCAACGCACCAGTCGATCCCAGTGCACCTGTGAATCCTGAAGGAACTACAGTATCTCCTGTCGACCCCAATGCACCATTAGATCCCAACGCACCAGTTGATCCTAATGCACCAGTCGACCCTAACGCACCACTCGATCCTAATGCACCAGTCGACCCCAACGCACCAGTTGATCCTAATGGACCAGTAGATCCCAATGCACCCGTTGATCCCAACGCACCAGTTGATCCTAATGCACCAGTCGATCCGAACGCACCAAGTGATCCAAATGCACCAGTCGACCCCAACGCACCAGTTGATCCTAATGCACCCGTAGATCCCAACGCACCAGTTGATCCCAATGCACCAGTCGACCCCAACGCACCAGTTGATCCTAATGCACCAGTGGACCCCAACGCACCAGTTGATCCTAATGCACCAGTGGATCCCAACGCACCAGTTGATCCTAATACACCAGTCGACCCTAATGCACCAGTAGATCCCAACGCACCAGTCGATCCCAGTTCACCTGTGAATCCTGAAGGAACTACAGTATCTCCTGTCGACCCCAATGCACCATTAGATCCCAACGCACCAGTTGATCCTAATACACCAGTCGACCCTAACGCTCCAGTAGATCCCAATGCACCAGTCGACCCTAACGCACCAGTCGACCCCAACGCACCAGTTGATCCTAATGCACCAGTCGACCCCAACGCACCAATTGATCCTAATACACCAGTCGACCCTAACGCACCAGTCGACCCTAACGCACCAGTCGATCCTAATGCACCAGTCGATCCCAACGCACCAGTTGATCCTAATGCACCAGTAGATCCCAATGCACCCGTTGATCCCAACGCACCAGTTGATCCTAATGCACCAGTGGATCCCAACGCACCAGTTGATCCTAATGCACCAGTCAATCCGAACGCACCAAGTGAGCCAAATGCACCAGTCGACCCCAACGCACCAGTTGATCCTAATGCACCAGTAGATCCCAACGCACCAGTTGATCCAAATGCACCAGTCGATCCGAACGCACCAGTTGATCCTAACGCACCAGTCGACCCCAACGCACCAGTTGATCCTAATGCACCAGTCGACCCTAACGCACCAGTGGATCCTAACGCACCAGTAGATCCTAATGCTCCAGTCGACCCTAACGCACCAGTAGATCCCAACACACCAGTCGACCCTAATGCTCCAGTAGATCCCAACGCACCAGTTGATCCTAATGTACCAGTAGATCCCAACGCTCCAGTCGATCCTAATGCACCAGTAGACCCCAACGCACCAGTCGATCCTAACGCTCCAGTAGATCCCAATGCTCCAGTTGATCCTAATGCACCAGTCGATCCCAACGCACCAGTCGATCCTAATGCACCAGTAGATCCCAACGCACCAGTCGATCCTAATGCACCAGTAGACCCCAACGCACCAGTCGACCCCAACGCACCAGTTGATCCTAATGCACCAGTAGATCCTAATGCACCAGTCGACCCTAACGCACCAGTGGATCCTAACGCACCAGTGGATCCTAACGTACCAGTTGATCCTAATGCACCAGTAGATCCCAACGCACCAGTCGATCCTAATGCACCAGTAGACCCCAACGCACCAGTCGACCCGAACGCTCCAGTAGATCCCAATGCTCCAGTTGATCCTAATGCACCAGTAGATCCCAACGCACCAGTTGATCCTAATGTACCAGTAGATCCCAACGTACCAGTTGATCCTAATGCACCAGTAGATCCCAACGCACCAGTTGATCCAAATGCACCAGTCGACCCTAACGCACCAGTGGATCCTAACGCACCAGTAGATCCTAATGCTCCAGTCGACCCTAACGCACCAGTGGATCCTAGCGCACCAGTAGATCCTAATGCTCCAGTCGACCCTAACGCACCAGTGGATCCTAACGCACCAGTGGATCCTAACGCACCAGTTGATCCTAATGCACCAGTAGATCCCAACGCACCAGTCGACCCGAACGCTCCTGTAGATCCCAACGCACCAGTTGATCCCAACGCACCAGTCGATCCTAATGCGCCAGTAGATCCCAACGCGCCAGTCGACCCCAACGCACCAGTTGATCCTAATGCACCAGTAGATCCTAATGCACCAGTCGACCCTAACGCACCAGTCGATCCTAATGCACCAGTAGACCCCAACGCACCAGTCGATCCTAACGCTCCAGTAGATCCCAATGCTCCAGTTGATCCTAATGCACCAGTCGACCCTAACGCACCAGTGGATCCTAACGCACCAGTGGATCCTAACGCACCAGTTGATCCTAATGCACCAGTAGATCCCAACGCACCAGTTGATCCCAACGCTCCAGTTGATCCTAATGCCCCAGTTGACCCTAACGCGCCAGTCGACCCCAACGCACCAGTAGATCCTAATGCTCCAGTCGACCCTAACGCACCAGTGGATCCTAACGCACCAGTGGATCCTAACGCACCAGTTGATCCGAATGCACCAGTAGATCCCAACGCACCAGTCGACCCGAACGCTCCTGTAGATCCCAACGCACCAGTTGATCCCAACGCACCAGTCGATCCTAATGCGCCAGTAGATCCCAACGCTCCAGTTGATCCTAATGCCCCAGTTGACCCTAACGCGCCAGTCGACCCCAACGCACCAGTTGATCCTAATGCACCAGTAGATCCCAACGCACCAGTCGATCCTAATGCACCAGTAGACCCCAACGCACCAGTCGATCCCAACGCTCCAGTAGATCCCAATGCTCCAGTTGATCCTAATGCACCAGTCGACCCTAACGCACCAGTGGATCCTAACGCACCAGTGGATCCTAACGCACCAGTTGATCCTAATGCACCAGTAGATCCCAACGCACCAGTCGACCCGAACGCTCCTGTAGATCCCAACGCACCAGTAGATCCCAATGCTCCAGTTGATCCTAATGCACCAGTAGATCCCAACGCACCAGTCGATCCTAATGCGCCAGTAGATCCCAACGCACCAGTCGATCCTAATGCACCAGTAGACCCCAACGCACCAGTCGATCCTAACGCTCCAGTAGATCCCAATGCTCCAGTTGATCCTAATGCACCAGTCGATCCCAACGCACCAGTCGATCCTAATGCACCAGTAGATCCCAACGCACCGGTCGATCCTAATGCACCAGTAGACCCCAACGCACCAGTCGACCCCAACGCACCAGTTGATCCTAACGCTCCAGTCGATCCCAATGCTCCAGTTGATCCTAATGCACCAGTCGACCCTAACGCACCAGTGGATCCTAACGCACCAGTTGATCCTAATGCACCAGTAGATCCCAACGCACCAGTTGATCCCAACGCTCCAGTTGATCCTAATGCACCAGTAGATCCTAATGCACCAGTCGACCCTAACGCACCAGTGGATCCTAACGCACCAGTGGATCCTAACGTACCAGTTGATCCTAATGCACCAGTAGATCCCAACGCACCAGTCGATCCTAATGCACCAGTAGACCCCAACGCACCAGTCGACCCTAGTGCTCCAGTAGATCCCAATGCTCCAGTTGATCCTAATGCACCAGTCGATCCCAACGCACCAGTCGATCCTAATGCACCAGTAGATCCCATCGCACCAGTCGATCCTAATGCACCAGTAGACCCCAACGCACCAGTCGACCCTAACGCTCCAGTAGATCCCAATGCTCCAGTTGATCCTAATGCACCAGTAGATCCCAACGCACCAGTTGATCCTAATGTACCAGTAGATCCCAACGTACCAGTTGATCCTAATGCACCAGTAGATCCCAACGCACCAGTTGATCCAAATGCACCAGTTGACCCTAACGCACCAGTTGATCCCAATGCACCAGTAGATCCCAATGCACCAGTTGATCCTAATGTACCAGTTGACCCCAATGCTCCAGTTAATCCTAATGCACCAGTAGATCCCAACGCACCAGTTGATCCTAATGCACCTGTAGATCCAAACGCTCCAGTGGATCCTAATGCACCAGTCGATCCCAATGCACCAGTCGATCCCAATGCACCAGTCGATCCCAACGCACCAGTTGATCCAAGCGGTCCCGGTGGATGGCCATGGCATCCACGGCCAACCAGTCACCCTATTCCACAACATCCAGTGTGGCCACATCGTCCTCATGGTCCAGGTAATAACCACGGCCACCACAGCGGTCATCACAGACCGACAGGAAAGCCTTTCTGGCCCAATTGGCATGATTGGATCACCAGTTGGCGTCCAACTGGAAAGCCCGATCAGCCCACCGTTGCACCCACTGCAGCCCCAACATTATCCCCCACAAAAGCTCCCACAGCTGGCCCAACTGAGTCCAACAACAAGTCGGAAACAAGTGAATCTGTAGAGCAACCGTCTGGTGGAGCCGTCTCCAATGAGAACGCTTCGGTTGAAGAGAGCAACAAAGGTTCCAAAGGCAAGGATAAACCAAAATCTTCTGAGGATCAGTCAAAAGAGCAGGACGAGAAGAAGAAGAAGCCGGACAACAACAAGTCGAAAGACTCTAAGGAGGAAAGCGATAAGAAAAAGTCCAATAGCTCCGATGAGGAGAAAAGCGAGAGGAAGGGTAACAAGGACAGCGATAAGATAAAATCCAGTAGCTCCGATGAGGAGAAAAGCGAGAGGAACGGTAACAAGGACAGCGATAAGAAGAAATCTAATAGCTCCGATGAGGAGAAGAACGAGAAAAAGGTTAACAAGGACAGCGATAAGAAAAAGTCCAATAGCTCCGATGAGGAGAAGAACGAAAAGAAAGACAATGGGAACCACAAAGACAGCAATAAATCAAAGGATTCCAAAGAGGAGAGAGACAGCGAACAGAAAAAGTCCAACGAAGATGAGGATAACGAAGCGCAAAGCTGGAGGGAGAAAATGGAATACGTAAAGAACGTCATCAAAAAGCTGAAGGATGAGGAGGAATGCGATGAGGACGATGTCTATCCAGATGTGCGCGACTGCAAAAAGTATTATCGCTGTGAGGTGAAGAAATCTGGCAAGCATAGGTTCGTCCACCTGCGTTGCGACAGCAAGGAACACTTCGATTATCGCAGCCTGAAATGCGTCTCCCGGAATGACGCCGAGTGTCTGCACAAGTAGAAGGAAGCCACATGCTGGAACATCCCGAACATGCAACAAAACCAAATGCCGAACGAACTAAACGGAAACGATAACTGTAGCATTCGTACAATATAATCTCACAATAAATTCAATGATATTAGCAATGATATATAGTACATATATCTGTACTTACCATTTTTTTTTCTTATTTATTAAAACCATTAAAATTAGTTTTCGAAAAATAAAATATAATTTATATATATGCATTAATCAATAAAGTCCGTTGTTAATTTGCTTTTTGGAAATACTTTCTTCTCTATTGTGTTTACACTAGAGGGTGTTACGATTTTGTCATGGTATGTGTAAGGCAATGAAGAAGACTTTTCCGACCTCACAATATTTATGTATTCTGGATCAGCTTTTCTCTCTCTCTGTCCGACCTTGGTCTTGTTCACTTTCTTTCTTGGTGAGACTTGGCTTCGATTACTTCGGTTACACTGATATCATATAGTTGTGGGTCGTAGGCGTACACGTCAAAAACAAAATGAATAAAATAAATAAATAATACAAATTAAAACTGAAACTTAAATGCGGTCTACAGAAATGTGCCAAAAATAATCTATCTATGATTTTGGACTTGACCAAAATACAAGCAGGAATTTCAACGCCTCATTGACTATTTGACTAGATTTATTTTTGGCTTGCCAACTAATCGAAAGCAGGCTGCTGACAACTTACTAAAGAGTCGTTGGCACTCTTGCACAAAATTTAAATACTCTGTTGATTGAGCCGAAATGCACTTTAACTAATTGCCAACATGGTTTTAAATTTTTATTTATTCTATTTTTTTTTTTGTTTGGCTTAGAACTGGTCACAGCTGGAATCATTAAATACCAATCTCTCTAATTATCAACGCACTTTGGAATAAGCTCCGATAAGTTCGTGAGTTGCGGCAAACTGCTCAAGTTTTTTGTTAGTCGACCATCTTTAAAGCGTTTCACTTACACTTGCAAAGTTTTTCCTATGTAAATATTTAGTGTAGCATAGAAATTTGAAGTGAAACGTAAACACAAGCAAAAAGCGTTAAGGGAAAGTGCATTGGATGACAGGGCACAAGACTCGCACCAGCAGGACATAGTCACAGAGCTGCCAGAGAAAGAGAGAGAGATGATGGTAGGTTGAGGAGGAATGCTGGAGCTGGTTGGGGTAGTGTCACCGAAGCAGAGCAATACACTTAAGTTGATTCGCTGTCATCCATTGCAGCTCATTTATCATTAGATGAAGTCACACGCACATATACACACAGAGGAGTGGTAGTGCACACATAGACAGGGTGCAGGATGCAGGAGCAGGGTGCAGGAGCAGGCTCGGCGACAGTTTCAACGTCGTCTAAGTAGTGTTGCTGAGACGTGGGCGTCACTGTGGGCGCGTTAAGAATAAACATAACAGGACGAGGAACACAAACAGATTCAGAACCAGAACGAGGACCAGGACCAGGACCAGAACGAGGACCAGGACCCCGACCCGTACCCAGAATCCGGGGCATGACCAGGAGACAAAGGCAAAACTAGAATGCGATGCGAACGCCAGCGATGAACGTCGACGAAGTAATTCAATTTTTATCGTGGGTAATTTTGTAACGAGAAACGAAAGAAGCGAATGGCAAATGGTGTTGGCCAGCGGTGTGGATGTGGGTGGGCAGATAGGAAACTGCGGTAGTGGCAGGCCAGTTGGGTGTTGTGGGTGTGTAGTGCTGTTACAATAAATGCTATATAATGGAGCAAGTAGAGCTTTAAGCCAGCTCCTTGTAATTGTGGGCGTTTCCTACACTGTGTTTGTGTATGTATCTGTGTGTGTGCTACTGCCATACGTTGAAAATTCAATTTGCCTGATGACTTGCTGCGGTTTAAATGCCGGCGTTCCACAAAAAGGACGACATCGGCCATTAAACTGTGGCCAACGGTTAAAGGCGATACAAAACGCATGTGGCATCATGTAACCATGCAACCGAGTGGCGAATATAGTGCTCTTCAACTGCAGCTACAACCACCAGCTGCCCGATGACTCTGACCCATGTCCATATTATATACTTATGCATACAACAAAAAAATCAGCAACAAAAATGGAAAGTCAAGCGTACGCAAAAAAAAAGGAAAAAAAGAGAGATAAATAAATAAAAAAAAGGAAAAAAAAGACGAAAAACTTTGTTAACTTCATTTGACAACAGCAGCAGCAAAGAGATGGTGCAGGGGTGCGCGGGGCAGGGGGAAGGGGCAACAACAGGGCACTGATGCGCTGTTCCAGGCCATAGCTCCTCTTCATGTGCGAGCCACTTGTAGTTGCTGGGCCCTACTTGGAGCTGGTCGCTGATTGGATTTCAGGCGCTTGAAAAATCAATTTTTATTTAATTAATGTGCCTCGTTGCATGCCCCAGAAGCACATACACAAACACACACACACACAGTATACAACAAGTGATATATACAATTTGACTGTAGCTTTAATAAATCATTTTGTTTTATAGCTGCTTATAAATAATAACAAAGTACTCTGTGCTCAAAAGGTTTGTTATTAAATATACAACATGTTTCAACGGGGGAAAAGAAAATTGTAATCTGATATTTGAAATATATGCCAAAACGAGGATTATCATACCGGATATTAGATACAGAATTTCAAATAATACACAAGCCGATTTTCCAAACTGTATCCAATAAGAAAAGGCGCTTAAGGCTTGTCCACAAATGTATACGATATGACAGACTGGATCATGCAGCAATATGCTACGCGTTAAACCTCTCATCTTAATATATGTATGTATGTAAGTAAGTAAGTATTTGTTGTATTGAAAACATCTGGCAAACTGATTGCCAATCTGTGATAAGAACTTGAAGCGTCAAAAGGCTCAACCCCAAGCAAATCTCGACATCAATCAGTTGATGCCATCAAACGGTTTATTTTGTTGCCACTTGCAATGCACACAATGACGCCGCAGGGAGTTGTCACAACACTTCACAGAGGTGTTCAGTGGGGGTCGGTGGGTTGGATGGCGGATGTAGCCTGCATAACACCTGCAAATACCGCTACTCATGGCAGCAACAACAGCAGCACCAGTAGAGAAAGGAAAAGAAATCAAATCTTATACTTGTATATTTAATATTCATATTTCAATTGTTTTTTTTCCCAACCATTTCTGGCCTTCCTGCTCCTCCTCCCTGCTATTTTCATCCCATTGCTCTCTCCCTCTCTCTCTTTCTGTCTTGCAGCTACTACTTGAAGCACTGTGTATTCCAGTTGGTAGTCTTTAACCTCGAGCAGCCCTCATTCGGCTTCTGCCATCTGCCCTCTGCCCTTTGCCCGTTTGCTTTGTTTGCTTTGACTTTTGAGCTCTGCGTTTGGCAATGGGATTTTTTGTAGTTGTTGCTGGCGTTACTCTTGCCCTTTATTTATAAAATTTTGATAAAGTTTTGTGTTATTAAAAATGGAATATATTCTCGGGGCGAATACGCAATGGAATATTGATAGCTGGAAAATACCTTCATTTTGTACTATTGAAAATACCATCAAGCAATCTGTGAACGTACAAAAATATTGAAAGGCTGGCAACGAAACACATTTCTATTGAATGGAATTTAGCAATACTGTTTGGGCAAAACTTTTTCATTTTAAGCATTTAAAAACAATCGGAATTGAACTATTTTAAAAATGTTGCTACAAATTGTTCACGGCTTTATTTATTAAGAAATTGCGTATCAAACACAGAAAATCAAAAAGGTGGTCGAAATGCATATTGAGAACTTGGGCGAAAAGCAACTCGAAATGGTGGCCAAAAGGGATATTGAAATGGCCAAACCAAAGAACCCCGGCACCAACACCAAATCCATTTGATGGGAGGCACTCCCAGAAGACCACCGAGAAGAAGACTTCAAAAAGTGGCCATGGTAAGGAAAAATACGATCGAAAATAACGAAGGCAACTGAAGTGATCGGCTCAAAGTGAGAGAGAAGTATCAATTTGTCTAAGATCCTTGGAAATATCAATCCTAGTATCAGCAGCATATTAATGCGTATGTATAATATATATATAAATATATACACATGCATATTGTTTGGCCATGCGAGGCGTCTGTATTCTCAGCGCAAACGTGCCAAAGAAAATTGCCTCCGTGAGGAGAAGAGGAGGTGGTATAATAAATCACTTGAGAGGGGTACTGGAAGGGGGAAGGGTTTATACTGACGGTTGGTGGGAGGAGACAGCGTTGACCCAGTAAGTAAACCCGATAAGACGAGAGAGTTGGCCGGGGTCGAGGGAAAGCAAAAGTTCGCCTTAAGTCAAGTCGAAATGCCTCGTTGCGTAGGTGTCCGAACTGAATGTGAATGAAGATGGGGGGCTGGCAGTGAGAATGGAAAGGAGAAGCGGGATGGGAATGGGAGTGAGCTAGTGGATGTGGCAAGCTGGGCAAAAGTGCACCTTGAGCACGGTAATTGCCTTGGACGGCTCGCTGAAAGCCCAAACAAATTATAAATTGCCGTCAACGACGACGGCGACGGCGAATCCTGAACGCTGAATGCTGAATGGCCATGCCCAGTTCAAAGGCTTAAGAAAGAAAGCAGCGACTGCAACTAAAGAGAGAAAAATTCAAATATAAGAGTGCTATAGCATACGCTAGACCATAAAATACCCTGTACGTAGCTGTAATTTGCCGTAAGTCCTCACATATTTTATTTATTCGTGAGGAAGAAGAGGAATTCGATCAAGTATATACAATAGTAAGACTATATATTAGAGTAAGTATGTTCTTGTTTCTCTCTCAGTGCTTAACCTATATCGAAGAAACTTAAAACGTTTTCATTTGCAAAAACTTCCGATCGGAAAACTTTATCATGTGAGTGCCATAAAAAATAAGACATTACTTATAAAATATGTCTTATATATGTATATTAGGCACGTTACTAGTTGAGACAAGGTAAGTAAAAAATAAAGCAAAGAAAACAAGTCAGAATGATCTAGTTTAGAGATCGATCGGAGATATCCTGATATCAAATCTGTGTTTCTTATTCGATCTTTGTGAAATTTTGTACAGTTGATTAATAATATGTGAATCAACTTAAGTCGCTGTTCGTGAAACTTTGGTAGTTATCGACGAATCGACAACACAGACAGGTGTTT